GAACAAAAAGGCAGAGAGAAGGTGAAATCATTCTCTTCTCTAGAGCTAGGATACCCTTCTCCTGCAGGTAGTAGTATCAAAACTCTAGGTTTGATATCCACTGGACTCCATTACTTACAGTAACAACTTCTGTAGTTCTCAAGTTGCTGGCCTCATACTGAGCATTGTACCATCAGCTTTCCTTGTCGGGAGGCTTTTGGACTGGCCTGAATCACACTACTGCCTCTGCATGTGTTCCAGCTGATAGACACCTGTGCGATTCTTCAGCAGCCATAATCACACTGACCAATTCCTGCATCCATCACTCTATAGAACCTATTGGTTCTGGATCTGTGAAGAACTCTAGTTACACCCCAGTCTGCACATAGAGCTTCAAAACTCATCTTAACATTTGTCTTCTTATAAGCAACCTTAGGAAAGAACAATGTCAAATGAAAGGCTGGGGAGTTTGGGGAGTTTATACATAACCTTGGCTCTGTGACATACTTGCTATGTAACCTTGGGCAAATTGTTTAAACTGTGCCTGATTTTTTTCTTTTGTAAACTGGAGATAATAATTTCACTCACAGATTTGTTGTGAGACTAACCTTTTATATGTAAATAACTAGAAAAAGGCTTATCACACAGTAAAGCATTCTATCAAATAGGAACCACTCTTATTATAGAGATCTTTACATCTACCATCTGATATAGAAATGTAATATGTGTTTGCTGAATTCAAGAATTAATAAAGGTTGAACCACTTACTAAGTTTCTCTTGGTGGTACTGGGAAAGCCAACTGCTTTCCCTTGAATAGTGATTTTTCCATATTAAATATAGTCCTGTGTGAAATGCACACAGTGAATCTGTTCTGGAGTTCCTTTCTTTGGGCCAAAGACAGGTATTACTGTCCTGTTAGCTTCTTGTATCATGTCAAACGTTTCTTCACAATCATAATGTATTTAAGGAAATTGGCTCCCTTAGTTTTAAAAGCCTCAGTCAAATGACTCTTTTGCATTGGGAGTACTTCCACCTATTAGCTAATTCAATAAATTTAATGGTGATGTTGCCAATCAGGCACATGCCCCTTTAATTCAATAGACACAATGTAGTTCAATGCATCTACAGATGAAATAAGATAAACTAAAGACAGAAGGAATATTTATGTTCGGCCATGTATCCTGCCTCTTAGGCCTCATAAACCAGACCGCTGAGCCTACCAATAATAAAAGAAGCCATTATACTATCGTGTTAAATATTACAGATAATTTCAATGTGTTTCCCTGCTCTTATTAAGGACATAAGCTGTTCAAAAGCAGAATTATTTTGAGTTTCCTAGAATTGACACCCTCACTCTAACTTAATCATAGCCAAAAACTAAATAGCACTTCACAGTGCACAAAGCCTTTTAATCATTTCTAAATAATATTTTCTATGAGGTTACAGTTTTTACAGTAAGGCAAAAAAAAAACCTAAATAAAAATTACCTTCATAAATATTTATGCATTTTTGCAGGGAAGAAACAGAACTTCCAGGAAAGGATGGAAGCCTGTGGGTTCTTCAACTGTTAGGGACAATGCATCCCAGAAGAGGCTTTTCCTAGTTACAAAAATGCTCAAGGTATTACAGCAGACTTGCTTAAAAAACAAGTGCTGGAATGATGATGTGTATTCAGGTCTTAACCCCCCCCGTTTTTGGTACTGGGGATTGGACCCGAGTTTAGGGTCATGACCACTAAAGTCTTCAAAAAATTATGGCTCTGAGAAACCACTGTAGAGGAATCAGCTGCTACCTATCGATACTAACATAACTTCGGGGATGTTTTCTTTTATTTCTGATATAGAAGGGTGATTGCTTCAACAAAGCAAAAATAAAAGGCATCACTTTAAAAGAAGATAAATTGTTGTTCATTCTGAACTGCAACAAAATTTTACAATAACCCAAAACCCAGTCTTTCTCAAAGTAGAAAGCCAGGGAATTCAACCAGAGAAGGTTAATCCACTGAGCTTGCAGATTCAGAAGTTCCGTACTCTTTCCTGAGTTGAAAAATACCTTCAAAAGTAATACAGTTTGTGTTGCGGATTTTGTTGGTGGTACTGAGGATTGAAACCAGGATTTCACACTGAGCTACATCTCTAGCCCCCTTCACTATTTTTTTTATTTTATTTTGAGGCAGGGTCTTGCAAAGTTGTTGGGTTGCCCAGGCTTTGTTCAAACATAATCATCCTCCCTCAGGCTCCCAGAGTGCTGGGATTATAGGCACACACCAGAGTGACAGAATTACAGGCATCCACCAACCATTTTTAAGAACTTCAGTAAAGAGCACAAATATCCCAGTAATAAATTGATAACGCATTCCACAGAGAGCCTGGAGCTGCACTGCATACACTTCCAAAACGCACCTTAAGAGCATGTCCTTGAGCCTGGTGACAGTGACAACCTGACAGGACTGCCAAGTAACAGGACAAGCCACTGCCGGAGAGCAGCACTTCGCAGTGATGCAAGAACTGCTTGGGAAACTTACCATCACTTCCAATATTAACCAATTCCTGTCATTTCACCAAAACTTCACCATAAATAGTTTACCTAATATGAAATCAGAATGCCTGTTTATGACTTTTCAAATGGAGCATTATTTTTCTGGTTTGCTTTTCGTCATGATTGAATCTAGGTTTTATGACACAATTAGGTTAAAGAAGTTTTGACCGCCTTGATCAAGTTCCTCGAATAACAGCTGTATTTACACCACACACACACACACACACACACACACACACACACACACACACACACACATATACATATATATACATATATATACATATACATATATACATATATTTGGAATCAAAGTTTCCCGGGACATACAGACAACTGGATAGATTTTTAAGACACTCAACTTCCAAATTCACCTCTCTTACCTAAAAATGCTCTTTTCCCACATCTTATTTCAAAGATAGCCATATCTCTTGAAACTAAGTGTAATGTAAAATACAGTGTTAGTGACATCTTATAATGGTGTCCGAAGACTTCCTAAACTATTGAAGGTGAGCCTAGATAAAGTTTCAACTGACAGAACACTAAAAATAATTTTGATGATAAAACTAACAGTAATTTTTGGTATCTTATCTCAGGTTGCACTCAGAGAAATTATATATACTAAACCTTTTTCAACTACTCCTTTTTATCTGAAAATAGAAACAATTCTTCCAGCTTCCTTAAAAATAAAAGGAATAAGTTGGGATAAAATTGATGGCTAAATATAGGAGTCAAATTTCTCTCACAAAACAAAGTTCCAAACATTGAAATGAGAGATGACTAGAAGTACTTCTGTAGACTGGAGCTGTTAATATGCAGGGTGTGAGATGCTAAGAGGTTTATGTGCAAATTCTCTTCAAAAAAGAACCAGTGGGAAAAAAATTGCAAATTTCAGGGGAGAAAGTAAAAGTGGTACATATAGTAACACTTAGGGAACATGGATGAAAGACTTAGGGAATTCCTTATACTATGTAGCATTACTTTTGGTATAATATTATTTCAAAATCTACTTAGTTTCATTTTAACTATATGTAAAATCCATGAACACATATTACTTATTCTTGTTTGTAGACAGAATTCTCTCATTAAATCATTTTAATCATTTTAATAAGGTTTTCATTTTTATTACTCAAAATTATTTGTCAAAATTTATTTATCAAAATGTAATTGTTTTGATCACATGCCATATTAATATGTATAATATCACCACAATTCAGGATGAATTTTTAACATTTACTATACATGTTTGTCTTATAATTTGTTAGGATAATTAATAAAATACTTTAAGGTATAAAATAAAACAACCACTTGTGAAATAATAGATATACATATGTTCAGAGGAAAAATGAACAATGCTAACTTCTATTCATAAGATCTGATTATTGTATTTTTAAAAACAATATAAATATTACCAAGTTGCTTTGGTATTAAAGTATATTTAAAATGACGAGGAGTCAAGATTCAGAAGGTATTAAAATTACATCTTTTGTAACTTTTAAACTAAATAAGAAACATAAGCAATTCATATTTTATTTGTGAAAGACACACAAATGCTAACATGTGTGAAGTTATTATTAATAGTAGTTTGTTTCTGATGAGCTACTGACCAATGTCCCCTAAGTAGGCACCATGATGATGTGAGAGAGGATGGGCACTCTACTAAATGGCACTAAGTGGATTAAAATGGTTATTCTTTATCACTAGAGTGTTATTTTTTTTACAGTTTTTCTTTCTAGTCATTCTCAGCTGTTTCTAATAGTTAGGTGTCTGCTGCTACAACAGACCTCAGTCATATTGCCAAAAACTGTTTCTCTAAGTTATTAAAGTGGTTACTCTCATTATTATGTTGGCTTAGCTTTACAAAAACATTAATAAATTGTCTCTAATTTCAGAATTCAATAATCTCATTAACAGATTATTAGAGTTTATTTCCATAAAAAGTTTTCTACTCACTTAAAAAATAACAATGTAAAAGAAAAATTATAAATTGTAGCCTTTTAAAAGGGAGACTTGGGAACACAAATTGAACCTCATTTCATTCTTCAGTGAACAGAAGGACAGCCGCGAAGAGTGAGCATGTTAACATTTAATGGGTCCAACACATACCCTAAACAGTGTCTCACTTTTCCTGATAAACAAAGTTTCCCTGGTTGTGAAAGTATAAATGATTTCTATTATCTTGTGCAAGATCCTCAAATGCAAGGTGTATGACAAATATTAAGGGTTTGGATAACACTTTTCTTAGTTCAGTAGAAAAAAATACAAACCTGACACTGAAACATTTTACCTATGTATAGATTTTTATTTCTGAAATTCATACCTGACTGCAAAATATCAGAAGATTTTATTTTCTTTTAAGGCATGTTAATGCGTTTCTTAACATATGCATCACCAGTAATCACTGTTCTTAGTTTGTAAAAAAAAAAAAAAGGATATAAATCAATACTGAGCAGTAAAACAGTATTTACAAACTCGTACTTACGTTAGCACAGTGTAAGGCCAGGGCACAGAAGACAGCGAACATCTTGAAATTGTTCTCGTCCGTCTTGGAGAAGGCACTGCCGCTGATTTTGTTCACCATCTGTACTACCCCAATCACGCTTCCTCGGCTCACGATGGGCATGCACAGGATATTCCGGGTGGTGTAGCCTGTGTACAAATCCACTTCTCTGAGGGAACATGAAGAAGTAAAGCAATCACCGGGAGGAAAAAGCAGGAGAAAATAAAAGACACATTCTATCAGAAATCTCAATGTATGTGCTTATATTACAAATACCTACAATGGCACTGTTAGGTTCTAAATTCAAGTATAAAGTAATAACTAAAAGTCTCTTATTAGAATCCTTTCAAAAATATCCTAACTCATTTGTTATTTGGCTATCAAACGTTTTCTAGAGCAGCCTTTATATATGGCTTCTGATTTATAGTTGTGTTTTCAGTATCCAGCATCAGTAAGCAAATAAGTTGAATTCAAAGAAAAAAGTTATTATAAATTTGCTAAAATGATAATTTCCTTTGAACTTGGCAATATTTATGAGAGATGTAATTTGTGAAATCAACTCAAATGGGTGTTATCACACTAGAAATTTAGAGCAGGGGTAGCAAACTACATTCCACTGGGCAAATCAACCCACTAGTGTCCTATAAAACACAGCCACACCATTCATTTAAGAATTGTCCAAGGTGACTTATGAAAAAGACCTTATAGCCTATGGAGCTCAGTATAGTTATATGTTGCCCTTGATAGAAATGTTTTGCTGACTCCAATTTGAGGAAATGTTTTTGTAAACGTGACTGAGGTCTGAAGAGACAGCCACATAAGCAACTTTACGGCAGGCACGGACAGAACTCAGGACCTAGCCCTCTCATTTCCTGTGCTGTGCTTGAGACCCATCCAGGCTGTAGCATCTATTAGTCCTTTTGTCCTTGTTAATGCTGTTCATCTGTTCACTAGATAATGGACAGTATTATCTATGAATGGCCAGTTGCTGGAAATTATGAATTATGCCCTTTGATGATCTGCCCACAAGTCTTGTACGGGCATATGTTTTGATGTCATTAGTTCCCTCAATGCCACCTAGGAATAGAGATAACTAATGGACTGCTCAATAAGTGTATGTTTAAATGTTCCAGAAAAGGCACAACTCTTTTTCCATCAGACAGCTTCTACCATTGGTGGCACAAGTGGTACAGTTATGCAGGAGAGTCGAGCATGGACCACCACTGGTCCAAGCTACCTGGCAGTGACATGGGAATTGTGCCCCCATTGGAAATGTGTTAATTATCATACATTCATCGTCTTTTGTGAAGTACCTGTTAAATCTTCTGCTAACTATTGGAAACAGCTAAAAATGACTAGAAAGAAAAACTGTAAAATAACAATACTGTAGTGATAAAGAATAATCATTTTAATTTAATCTCCCGCTCTTTTTATTAAATTGGGATATCTTATTATTAGTTTAGGAAGTTTTTAAATATATATTCTAGATACAGATATTTTGTTAGGTATCTTTTACAGGTATTTTCTTCTAGGCTGTTGGTTGTCTTTTCATTTTCTTAATAGTATGACCATAAACTTTTACATAAAGATTTTATATAAGGATATGTGAAGATTTTCAAGATTGAAGCAGTGAAATGACAAATTGTTTTGTGAAAAAATAAGATTTTTAGTATACTTTCAACCTATAGATGAAATATATTGTTATAATATAGCCATACTCACATATATGTGAATTATATATATATTTATCAGTTAATTATATGAAAAAACTTCCAGTTGCTTCTATTTTTATCTCTTAAAGTAAACCAAATGCTTGTCAAAGTATCTGAAATATTACCTAGTAATAATCATAGCATCCATTCTGAGAATTTCAATTTCTTGAGAATTATTAAAGCTAGCTTCTAGTTCTCTAAAGAAAGTGTAAAGGCAACAAAAAATCTTTACAAGCCATCTTAATGTTCAACTTTAATAAGATCCAATTAAAGCTGTGGCTAACTGAAGTCATTTCCAAATCTCTTATGAATATTAAATGTAATCTTTAAAATGCTGTAATGTCGCTATTATCATACCCAGTATAAATAGTAGAAACTGAGTCTGAAATTATGTAACTCACCCACTCCACTCTATACTAACAACTGTCAGAATCATAATTCAAAATCAAACTGGTCAATGTGCAAAGTACATAACTTTATCAATACTGTGATTTAATAGATAATACAGTGAAACAAAATGACTACACCAGAGCGTAGGGCCACCAGTCAAAAGTCCTATTAGCTGGGCCAGGGATTTAGCTGAGTGGTTTTGCTCCCTGCCTCTCAAGTGCAAGGACTCAGTTCAATCCCCAGTACCTCCCCAAAATCTTATTAGCTATTTTTATAAAATCATGAATACATGTAGTGGCACATCATTACATATTCATAGATTAGAATATTATTTTATATATCTAAATATACTGCCTGCTGACAATACAGTTGGTTCACAGAAAAGGAAAAAAAACGGAGGAGGAAACAGCTGAGGTGAGAGGTGAGGAACCGGGGCTGGCAGAGGAGGCCACCCCGAGTGGGACTGGCCTGGAGACACCCCCGCTCACCTGTTAAAGCGTGGGTCCGCATAGGCATCTGGGATGTTCAGGACTTCCCCTGTTCTTGCCACTTGACCAGCAATTCCTTTCTCAATGGAAAATCTGCGAATATAAAAGAGAGAAACGTGCTAATTGAAATATGGATGCTGTAGAATAATTCTGAAACATTTCATTACTATCAAATATTGAATAAAAAGCCATGATTTACTTTAAATGTACTTATTAGTTTTACATTCATATATCTGAAATCATCTTCTAAAATATATTAAAATAAAGAAGAAAAAGCACACAGTGATCATCTGAGAACCTTGTTTTAAGATGCAATTCATACTACACTGAAATATAATTGGATCACAAATTAAAAATGAAAAATTAGTGATCTCCAGCACTGACCAATAGCATTCCCTTGTATTTGCAAAGTATCTTGTAGTTTACAATTTGCTTCATAATTCATTTCCTTGGAACTAGGTGTTTAGCTCAGTGGCACCCACACCTGCCTTGCAAGTGCAAGGTCCTGAGTTCAATGCCCAGTATGGGCCCTGCCCCCCGAAAAGTTATATTTTCTTAGTGGCTTTTCAATGAGATGTGAACTGAGGTCTTTGAGTTCACTAACTTGCCAATATTCTCAAAGTAGTATTGGATCAATAAAAACTAGAAAGCATGTCTACACCACTGTGATTTCCTCTACACATATTAGCAAACTCACAGATTATGTCTGAACCTTGAGATGTATAGGGCTTGAATTTTATCTTGTTCCCATCCCAAGTGCTATGTACAAGTATTACAGAAGTGTTTTGATTCTCTAACTCGTTAAATTTTAAAACAATCAAGATGATAAGCATTAACTGAATATAATTATATTTTGATACCTAATATCAATATTTTCTTTTTATAGCTATATTCTTACATTTATACATATTTATGTTTTATTAATTATCATCACATATGCACTCATTTCAAAATTTAAGAAGGATATCTAAAATTCCCAATATCCATTTTTTTATAGTTCAGAAGTAATTTTCATATTACATTTTTGACATTATAAGAAATAATCATTAATTAAATAAAGCTTCACTCTAAGGAATATCAAGAAGACTCAAAACAGAATTGACATAAAATAGAATTAAAACATCAAAAGGTGAACCAAGCATTGTATAAAACTTAAGGTTGTCTTCTCAGTTTCCTTGTGCTTTGAACAGCGTGAACACAACACATTAGATTGCCATGAACCAAGAATCAAGATCCATTTGGTGAAGTGTGCTGTTGGTATGGGTCTGAGAGCTCTGTGCACTGTTCCCTCCCCACATCCTCTGTGGTTCCCCTTCTGTGGTCAGAGGAAGAGCATAACGAAGGAACCTCCTGTAGGTAAGTGTCCAGCATCAACCAGGCATCTTAAGGTTATAGTACGCACATTGCCCTATTTTTCCGATGCTCGTAAATATAGGCTTTATTATTTCCATACTAAGATTAATAACAGAGGTGCCAGGTAACACTCAAAACTTAAGCAAGAGAAATGACTTTAAGTGAATGCATCCAGAATAACAATATTGAGCTCTTAAAAAAAATGAAACAAATTTTAAAACACCTATGTAGAACTTGTAAATCAGTCTTATGTGACTATGGATGATAGGCTCTGTCATCCTGGAAACAGAGAAGCAGAGCTGCTCAGCAGAAGCGGGGAACACCCTGAGTGGGCCATGATGTGCTCTTTAAGGATAATTACCTTACATGACAGACGCCCAAATAAACAGCAATCTTCAATAAGGAAGAGTGTTTCACTAGAGATCTTTATAGCATTATGTAGAATAGTCACAGCAGACACATGAAGAAAAGGAATGCCAGTGTGAACAGGAACTTCCCGCCAGTGTGTAAAGGAGCTTCTAGCCCCAGCGCGGTAAGCTTGATTGTGACAAGTGTTCCACAGTGCTCCCTGCAGGTTTCCAGGCCACCACACCTCCATCAACAAATGAACTCCAGTTTATTCATTTGAGTGACAAGTGCTCCCACTCACAGGACAAAGAAGGCTTTAGTTTCAAAATGTAACAAAAGTGTACACTGATAAAACCAACCAAATGGTCAGTTAATAAATGTGTTTACATCATCAAACACACCAAATCAGTGTTCTCTACTGGCTGAGCCTTGGTGAACAGCCCTATGGGCTGGGAAGAGGTGCGGGCCAAAGAGGATATGCTCGTCCTTGCTCCTAAACATGGAGAAGCCTGCAGACTCCAGGTGGAGTGTATCTTTACCTACCTGGGAGCACTAGTAAGTTTTTCCAACATGATTTCCAAAAGGACCGCCTCCGGAAGACGGCATTTCCAGGAGTGACGCTAATGCTTCCTAGGTGTGGTTTCGCTGGCACTGCAATGTCATTCCCAGAAGTACTACCTTCAGGAGGCGGGTCCTGGTGGGAATGATATCACAGTATGACAAGTATTGTCAGCATACCTGTGAATAGGCACAGAAAAGTGGGTAACAGAACACCTGCACATCTGTGACCAGAGCCTAGGACGTTCCACTCTAGCTGTACCTTATCTCTTTGGTCTTCTTAAAGACTGGTTTTCCTTCTTTTTCCTCTCCAATATCAAAAAGGTCTGAATACAACTCCTTGTTCTTATGGTCTACCTGGAAAAGTGCACAACGATCGGCATTCACCAGGTTTTTTGCATATATCTAAAGACAAATGACAAAACAAAAGTAAGACAATGAAGAATTTAAAGAACTTACAAGTGAAATTTATCATAAGTAAATATTAATTTCAGCTATTCCATACTTTGATTAGGTATGAAATTAGAAAAGAAATAAATAATATATCGGTATAAAATATTATATATGAATGTATGTGTAAGTTACTGTTATATGCTAATATTAACAGAGAGTAACAAGAACAAATAAACAGCTCATATGCACCGTAGCTTCAGCTGGATGCTGAAATGCTAAAACACTTTCACACTGGTTTATAAACAGTTACTGGACTAATTTCCTCTGAGCCCTAAACCATCTGAAACTCTCTTTCAGGACCTCTCAGGATTCTCCTGGTGCCCTGATCAAGGCCTCAGTAAGTGCCAAAGCCAGCATCCATTCCAACTGGTCAATGCCTGTGAATAATATCTGTAAAACTATGAAATATGTTCTCTAAGGAGACATACAGTTTGATATTTAGCTGAACTGTATTTGCCATGGTGTCTATTAACTTGCAACAATTGTTAGATACATACCTTGCCCCAGGTACATTTAATGTATCTTTGTACATTAACGTACTCAAGTCTCTCAATTAAAATATTGAGTTAAGAGAAAAATGTTATCCCCACTTTACATATTAGAAACTGTACTGAGAAGTAATCTAATTTGATCTCCCTCTTACAACAGTGAATCTAGTATTTGAACTTATACTCACTGTTTCCACTGCCCATGCTTTTAATAACAAATATATGTTTCCATTTCTAAATGGAAAATGTGCTAATTTTATCATTCATTTGTTCATCAACTTCCTTCAATATGTATTTCTTTGATGCCCAACATATCTCACTGTCCTTAGTGGGCTAGGGCCATAGAAATATAATAACTATATATATATATATATAT